GAGCAAGCAATTAAACAGGTAGAAAAAGTAGGAAACCAACAGCAAGTAAATAACATGACAATGATAAGCAAACATGTATCAGTTATAACTATAAATGTAAATGCCCTCAACTCACCTGTCAAAAGAAAGACTGGAAAAGTGGATTAAGAAACAATCTAACAATATACTGTATACAAGAAACACATTTAACTCAAAAAAGAAATCTACAGACTGAAAGTCAAAGAATGGAAAACAATTCTCCATGCAATGGGAACCCAGAAAAAAGCGGAGTATCTACTATGTTTGCAGACAATGTAAACTTCAAACTGAAAACAATCAAGAGATAAAGAAATCAATACATACTTTGAGGGGAAAACTGCAAGGGGATGAGATAACAATCATAAACACGTATGCACCAAATGTGAGAGCACAAAACTATGTAAGACAAATCTTAAAAGACATGAAATCCCAAATAATTAATAACACTATTGTAATAGAGGACCTCAACACCCCTTTGACACAAAAGAATAGCTCAACTAGATGAAAAAAAATCACCAAAGAAACAGATCTGAACCAAAGCTGGAAACAAATGGACTCAGCAGATGTCTACAGACTGTTCTACCCCACAACATCAGAATACACAATTTTCTCAGCTGCACATGGGACATTCTCTAAAACAGACCACATTCTAGCCCACAGAACACACCTAATTAAATGGAAAGAACTGAAATTATTCCATGCATATTATCTGACCACAGTGTAATGAAATTGGAAATTAACGAGAAAAGGAACTCCAAGAACTCCAGAAACACTTAAATAACAACCTCCTGAACAACCAATGGGTCACAGAAGAAATTGAAGAAAAAATTTAAAAATACCTACAATCACATGAAAATATAAATACAACTTACCAGAATCTGTGGGATACAATGAAAGCAGTCCTCAAAGGGAAATTTATAGTGATGAACTCACACATAAGGAAAACAGAAAGAGAAGAAATAAATAGCCTAATGCTGCACCTCAAACTTTTAGCAAAAGAAGAAGTCAAGACTGAAGCCCAAAGAAGGGAGGAGATTATAAAGATCAGGGCAGAAATTAATGGAATTCAGATGAAGAAAACATCACAAAAAGTAAATGAATCAAAGAATTGGTTCTTTGAAAGAATAAAATTGATAAACCCCTAGCCAATCTTATCAAAAAAAGAAAGGGAAAAACTCAACTTAATGCAGTAAGGAATGAAAAGGATGAAATCACTACAGATCCTACAGAAATTCAAAAGATCATTAATACCTACTTGAAAAATTTTTACTCCCACAGGACAGAAAAGTCAGAAGAAATGGACATTGCTAGATATGTATGAATTACTAAAGTTGAATCAAGAAGATATAAAAATCCCAAAAAGCCCAGTATCAACTAATGAGATTGAAAACGTCATTAAAAACTTACCAACAAAGAAAAGCCCAGCCCTGAAGGATTCACAGCAGAATTTTATAAGAAATTCATAGAGGACTGAATACCAACACTCCTCAAACTCTTCAATAAAATTGTAAAGGAAGCAATTCTCCCTAACTCATATCTGGAGGCAGGAATTATACTGATAGCAAAACCAGAGAAAGATCCAACCAAGAAAGACAACTACAGACCAATCAGGGCTGGGGGTTTAGCTCAGCAGCACAGCACCTGCCTGGCAAGCGCAAGGTAGTGAGTTCGATTCCCGGTACCAGAAAAAAAAACCAAAAAAAAAAAAGAGAACTACAGACCAATCTTGCTCATGAACAGAGATGCAAAGATACTCAATAAAATACTAGCAAACAGAATGCAGCAAATCATCAAGAAAAAATACACCACAACCAAGTTTGACTCATCCCAGGAATGCAGGGGTGGTTCAATATACACAAATCAATAAATTTTATACACCATATCAAAGGGGCCAAAGACAAAAACCACACGATCATCTCAATAGATGCAGAAAAAGATTCTGACAAAGTCCAACATGCACTCATGATAAAAGAAACCCTACAGAAAATAGGAAAAGATGGTCTTTACCTCAATCTGATCAAAGCCATCTATGACAATCCAACAGCCAACATCATACTAAACAGACAAAAACTAAAAGCTTTCACTTTAAAATCAGGAACAAGACAAGGATGTCCACTGTCACCACTCCTATTCAACATAGAAGCATTTAGAAGCATTAGCCAGAGCAATTAGACAAGAGAAAGAAATAAAAGGAATAAAAATAGTATAGGAAGAAGAAAAATTATCACTACCTGCAGATGACATGATAGTCTACATGGAAGACCCCAAAAATTTTACCAGAAGACTCCTTCAATTAATCAACAAATTCAGTAGCATCACTGGATACAAAGTCAACACTCAAAAATCAATAGCATTCCTATACACAAACAACAAACAGATTGAGAGAGAAATTAAGGAAACCATACCTTTCACAATAGCATCCAAGAAATTGAAATATTTAGGAATCAATCTAAGAAGTAAAATATCCACTCAATGAAAACTACAGTACTCTGAAGAAAGAGATAGAAGAGAATTTCAGTAAATGGAAAAATATCCCTTGCTCATGGATAGGAAGAATCAACATTGGTCATACTAACAAAATTGTCATACTAACAAAATGGTCATACTAACAAAATTGTACACATTCAATGCAATTCTCATTAAAATACTATTAGCATACCTACAGATCTAGAGAAAACATGCCTTAAATTCATCTGGAAGCAGATGAACCAAAAACAATCCTGGGTAACAAAGACAAGTCAGGTGGCATTGCAATCCCTGACCTGAAATTATACTACAAATCTACGTAATAAAATCGACATGGTACTGGCTAAAAAACTGACCTAAGGATCAATGGAACAGACTGGAAGAAACAGCCACAACTACAAACACACTCAGCCACCTAATCTTTGACAAAGGGGTCAAATAAGCTCACTGGAAGAACAATAGGCTCTTTGATAAATGGTGCTGGAAAAACTGGCTTGCCACTTCCTGAAGACTGAAAATAGATCCAAGGTTATCACCACACACCAAACTAAAGTCAAACTGGATCAGAGATCTCAATATTAAAACAGAAACACTAATCTACTGGAAGAGAAAGTAGGTAAAAATCTTGAAGACATACAGGTAGACAGAGAATTCATGAACAAAAACCAAACTGCATGGGAAATACTTCAGAGAATCAACAACTGGGATCTCATCCTACTGAAAAGTTTTTGCACATCTAAAGAAATCACAAGCAGAGTAAAAAGAAAACCCACAAATTGGGAAAAAATTTTAGCTGACTGTCACTCAGTCAATGGTCTTCTATGTAGAACATATAAAGAGTTAAAAAACATTAACCCCCGCCAAATTCAAAGACCCAATCCAAATATGGGCAGCTGAGACGAATGCACACTTCTCAGATAAAGAAATACAAATGGCAAGTAAATACATGAGAAAATGCTCAACATCATTAGTCATTTGAGAAATGCAAATTAACACAACACTGAGATTACATCTCACCCCAGTAAGAATGGCTAACATTAATAAGTCAACCAATAAGAAATACTGGTGAGGCTGTGGAGAAATAGGAACTCTTCTCCACTGCTGGTGGGAATGCAGACTGGTGAAACCACTGTGGAAATCAGTATGGAGATTCCTCAGCAAACTGGGTCTAGAAGTCCTATTCAACACAGCTATTCCCCTTTTGCATATTCTCCCAGAAGATCTGAAAGCATCATATCACAATGATATATGTGCACCCATGTTTTTATTAGTCCAATTTGTAATAGCTAAATCGTGGAAGCCACCCAAATGTCCATCCACTGAAGAATTGATAAAAAAATTGTATTTTTATCTACTGGAATATTACTCAGCTATAAGGAAAGATAAAGTCGAGGCTTTTACAGGTAAATGGTCACAACTAGAGACCATACTCATAAGTGAAATAAATCAGACCCACATGTATAAGCATTATATTGTCTCCTTGGTGTAGGAACCTGAAAGACTAGGTGAAACTCAAAACGTACAATAGATGATAGGAAAGGGAAAGAAACTGCTCAAAGGAAGGAGCGACTGGGATGAGGGAAAGAAGAAAAAAGAAAGAAGGCCAAATATAAATATATATCTGAATAGCTGCAATGATTATTGCTGATGTCTGATGGTGAAATGAAATGAACAGTCAATATTTACAATTTTTTATGCTCTGATCGATTTTGCATGCTTCCGTCTGGTGGTCTGAGAAACTGATCTAACGTAACAACATGCAGTGGAATTACAATGGTGAACTCCTACCATCTTGTCTAGTGTTTTTTTATTTTATCGAAGAATTATTTTCTTATTCTCTTTAATGGTTTGAGCAATCTTTTATTCTTGCATCTGGTAATCTGAGCAATGTAGTTGAGGATAGCGATACATAATGTAACAACCACTGTTGATTTGTATTAATTTATCTTGAGAACCTATATCACTTTGAATGTTCTTGCTTTGATTTGTTAATGTTTGTGATACTGGTATGCTGCTACTGTTCTATTTCTTTTGTTTGTTTCTCATTTACTACTCCCTTTAAAATAAAAAAAACGAAAATGGTAAACTATGGATAATAAACCTTACATTGATATTCTACCTCTTAAAGTGCAGATTTTTTTTTTTTTTTTTTTTTTTGGTTTTTCTCCGTACCGGGAACCGAACTCACGACCTTTCGCTTGCCAGGCAGGCGCTTTTGCCGCTGAGCTAAATCCCCAGCCCCAAGTGCAGATTTTTAAGACTTTTTATAGCTTATGTTTCAGTCTTATAAGGTGAAAAGTTAGTATTTTTCTATGAAGAAGATGCATATGAGTTTTATATAAAAGTTAGTACACCTATTTTTGGAACTCAAACTGATGTAGCTGTTAGATTTGTATATGTCTTATTAACTGTTTTTCTGCTGTATTCTAATTTCCAATGAAAGGTTTATGAAAACACCATGTCATTTTTGTCAAAAACTGCAAAATGTAGAAGCCATTTCATAAGATGAAAATTACCTTGTTTATTTATAACTGAGTATGCAGCCAAAAATCCTCGTCCAGAATTATGGATCCCACTCATGAACAGCACTGTAATTTCATTATTTTTTGATTCAATTGAATGGTTCACTTGTAACCCCAGACCACAGTATTTACCTAGAAATGAAGAAAGAAAGGTATATGTTTGATAGGACTCTCATGAAGTCAATAATATTTGCAATAATATGTGGCAGGTCAGAATAACAGAATGAATTGGGAATTAATAAAAAATAATGACAAGGATGTTTAATAATTAAAAACTATTATTACTCTAGAGAAAAAAACACTGTCAATAATTCTCCAAATAATTCAGAATAAAAAAGTAGTTACACTGATCTTAGAATTTTTTTTTTTTTAAATGAAAGCATTTCATGCAGGTAGATAACCACAACATGCTTAATATCCTTCTCTCAAAAGTTCCTGATTCCTGGCCTCAGAGCATTCCTCGAACTTTTTTTGACCTCATTTTTTCCTCTGAGAATTGTGAGACTCTGTTCAATCCTGGTGGGTGATTACATTTATCCTTGTACCTTTAACTATGATCTAACACAACTCAAGCTTCCATCCACAGCCTCTTCCTTGAACTTCAGATGCATACATCCAAGCCTGCCTAACTTTCACTACCTTTCAATGTCCATGTAGAAAATAACATGTTCTCAGTACAGCTCTAACTACACTAAGATAAAAAGCAAAATGAAAAGGTAAGCAAGAGCTCCACCGATAAATTATAAAATGGATTTCCTTATGTAGCTGGTAAGCTGTCTAACAAATTCTAATTAAAAAGTTCCAAAAAATGCTTTAAGTGACAGTGATATTACCTGAATAAGAATAATGTAGATTTTCAGGGATACCATAATCATCAGGTAAAAGGATATTAAAACTACAATGAGATACCAAAATATACCCATAAAATGGGTATAGTAAAAAAGACTGACAATAAATCAAGCACAGATGAAGTTATGGAGAAATTAGAACTTTTATACACTATACATTTTTTATAGACACTAATACTGTAGTAGGACTATAAAATGGATAGACTTTATGGAGACAGGAAGGGGGTCTGAAGCTGGAGGGATATGGGGAAGGGGCACAATAAAAAGGATCAAGATTCGACGTGTATATATATGTACTAGTATCCTGTGATGAATATATTCATCATGAATCATAAACATATACTAATAAAAATTTATAAACTTTTTGACAGTTTCTAAAAAGGATAAGCATAAACATATATAGCCCAGAAATTCACTTCTAGTTATTTACCCAAGAGGAAAGAAAATGTTTCCACAGAAAAGCAATGCAAATGGTCACAATCATACATGAGTCAAACTGAAACAATCTTACGTAACAGTTAATGGATAAATAAATGTGGTAGTGTATACCCATGCAAAGGACCCATATACAACAATACAAGGAAAGACCATATGTACAACATGGGTGAACCTGAAAAATACCACGCTAAGTGTAAGAAGCCACTTGTATGATACTTATAGAAAAGGCCAGTAAAGGGAGCAGGGGAGTCCGTCAGTGGCTGCCTGATCTGCTCAGGGGAACAGACGAAGAAGACACGTCTCTACCTCACGGCTGAAGATAAAGAAGAGAATTCATTCCAACGGGCACAAAGGAACCTTGTGTGATGCAAAGTTTTTATATTACACAAAACTTCTATACCTGGATTTTATGATGTGGTACAGCTGTATACATTTATTCAAACTCATCAAACTATACATATTAAAAATGTATGAATTTTATGATATATAAATTATATTTCAACACAACTTATATAAGAAATACAGACACAATTTTTATTGTGACGATTCATCATATATTAATGAATTCACTTTACTGTTTTCTGAAAGATAAACTAGGTCACAGAATTAGATGCTGTCATAGCTGAAAATCCCTTAAAGGTCTATTACAAATCCCTTATTCAGCAGTTGAGAAACTGGAAACCATGCAGGTAACTATACTGCCTGGTCAGTCACAGTCTATATTCTCTTTGGGGAATGAGTACGTCCTTCCCTAATTCTTATATTGCAAACTCTAATATCTGGGTTTTCATGTTTGGGGAAGAACTGAGTCAAAGGGCAGAGCTCTCTTGATGAGGCCGCAATCTTTTAAGAACAGAATCACAAAGTTGCTTCTTCTCTACTATGCCTCATGAGTACATGGGTATACCTGTTGCATATGGGTCCTTTGCATGGGTATACAAGGGAACACAAGGGGGAAAAAAATTACCAGATGTAAACGAGGAAGAGGGTCTTGATTGATCTCCGTCTTCCAGCTTATATAGCGATAAGGAAGGAGGAAAAAAACGTGTCTATAATCTGGCAAACTAGTTGATTCTTTAATTCCAGACCCACATATTGGCCCTTCAAAGTTATTTCTAATTTAACATAAAGCACATAACTGTGAACAGCCACAGGTTCTGGTGGTTCTCAGAGCCAGCTAAAATCCCTAAAGATTTCTTATGGTGAAAAAGAGAGGACTTTAAAAGTAAGTGTATGGATATATAGAGAAAATTACAAATATACAAGTAAATCATGTATCCCAATAACCATAAATACTAAATAGAAATGGAATCAATGCTCCAAGAAACAAAGTTTAAAAGAATCATTAGGAATGAAGTGTAATACAAATCTACAATGCAATACTACCACTTCACAACCACTGAGATTTCTAGAATTAAAACAATAGTAACAAGTATTGACAAAGATGCAAGACTGTGAGGATGTACAGTCACTTTGGAAAACAGTGTGACAATTCTTCAAAAGGTTAAACACAGCACATGACTCATAAATTCCATTCCTAGACATACATTGAAGAAAAATGCAAACATAAGCCCACACAGAAACATCTTCTACAGTCCCTTGGTATCTATAGGGGACTGGGCCCAGGACCATGCCCCACCACAGATACCAAAGTCAAGCCCTTTATATAAAATAGTGTGGTACCAGAATACAACTTATGGCAAACCATCCTCCTGTATACCTTCTATCATCTTGTAAGACAGTACAATGTAAATACCATGCATATGGTTGTCACACTGTTTAGAGATTGTCAGCTCACTTTTACCTGAATATTTTCTATTCATGTTTTGTTTGAACTGGCAGAGAACTGCAATTACAAAGAGCGAGCTATGTATGACTGCTCACAGAGCCACACTCACAGCAGGACAACCAAGCGGGCATCCTGAGGTTCTGAGCCAACAGCACACTCTTTTGGGCAAACAGTAAACTGTGAGAATGGAGATGACCGGAGCACAGTCTGCTGAGAGAAAAACTGTCTCCTGACTCTTCGGGGAAGAAATGGCTCTAACTCTCAGTGGGAGTAGGTGCAAGACTTCAGTGGCCGAAGGAGAGAAAACAAAGAGACCGAGAAAAAGCAGCTGCTTTTGCTGCACCACTAAGAGAAACAGATCCCAGGTCTGATTCCCGGGGCTCCAAGAAGAACCCGACAACTGCATTCATCGGCTACCACTGTTAAAAGCCAGGCCACCTCAAGAGGAACTGCCCTAAGAGGCCCCATGGGCCATGCCCTG